TGTGTGTGGGTGTGTGTGTGTGTGTGAGTGTGTGTGAGTGTGTGAGTGTGTGAGTGTGTGTGTGAGTGTGTACTAACCCTGTCTTTAATAATCTTCATAATATCATGCTTGTGATGATTATGACACGCTGTGCATGTTCTGCATGAGACAACATGAACTCTCTCTAGATGTTCAGAATGGAGTTACATGCATAGGATTGCATGATTAAAATAAAATAAATCTGAAATCGTGATGTGGCTCAGGGCAAATATTATTCTCCATCTGCATCTGCTCTGATTCTGAGTCGCTTTAACATGCATTTAAAACACAGCATGTGCCAAACGTCAGATGAGAAGCTTTAGGCTGCCTGTGGTTTTCTGTCAAAATAAAAGCTTGATGGTTTTTTAATGTTTGGAATTTAAGAAATTAAAATATAATAAAATATAAAATGTTATAATACTAATAAAAATAATTAAGTAATTATTAGTATAGTTATATTAATATGCAATCCCCAAAAAATTGTGCCAAATTGTGCAGCCCGATGCATTTTAACACTAGAACCGCCACAGGGTAAATTTTACCCGTGGCTGTTTTTAAAACATACATAAAAGATTTTTAATAAAACATTCAAGTCTCCCAGTCACTGACTTTTACTAAAATTGTGTGATTTACAATCCCCTGTTGTTAAAAACTGTTTAGATAAAACCAGATAAAAAAACGGGGCATTTAAATTTACCCGCTATATAATGCCTGTATGTTCGCGCTGTCATTTTCTTGCCTCTTATGTTTTAACATCGCTTTTCACTCACTGAATTAGCGGTTATCAGTTTCATAAATAAAGACAAAATGAGTAAAAGAAGGCGATTTATGAATGCTGAAGAGGTATAAGAAGCACTAAATGCCATGAGCGATGGAGAGTCTGATGGTGAGGATCAGTAAAGCATCTGTCGGCGATCAATGTATCATATTTAGACGTTTTATCCTAATGTTACTCATAATTGTTCAAAATTTTGATTAATTATTAAATTTTTGTTTTGCCATTTCTATCGTTTATTGTTCGTGTCTGTGTTGCTATGTATTCTAGTCTGTTTCCTGAAGAAGAAAAATCTGATCTGATGTAGGCTAATGAATAAAATCTTTTTTTTTTTGGATTACCTGAAGTTTATTGGTGGTGTTCTTGTATAATTCAAATTATAAATTATATAACTAAACAAAATAATAATTAATTAGGTGAAACTGTGCGCTTGAATTTGTCGTCGCATCATCCTATGCAATGTGGTGAATTATTATTGCTCATTATTGTCTATAGGCTATTTTAGTCATTTAAATAACATAGGTTATCTTAATATATTGATTAATGACATTGTATCATAATAGCCTATTACACCACCCAAAGATGTATTTACTTCCTTCTAATTCTGGTTGTCAGTGCAGGCTTGTTTAGCTTAATATTGACCGTTATGAAAAGTGACTAGTGTAGCCTGCATAAAAAAGCCTTGAACATAAAACAACAGGACAAAAATATAGTTGATGACTAGACATAATCATTTCATGACTCTAGACACTTCTTTGTGAAGACAGTAGCATAATACAGTGAAATAATAAGTTCTTTAGCCATTCAAAAACAGCTGTCATGTGCGTGGGTAAAATGTTTTTAGGTATACAGCGACCCCTGGTGGTTCTAGTGTTAAATCACAATCACAATTTCTATGAAATCAACCGCTATTCGTTTTTTTCCCTCCAGATCATGCAGCCCCACTGCACTGTGTTCTTTTATACAGCATGTGAAACTGTATGTCATTCTGACCATTTCAAACAGTCACATGACCTCACTATGCTGCACGTTTGATTCAGTCGAGTATTGAGTGCAATATTAGTGAAACATTCGTGTGCAGCTCCTGCCTGCTGCTGCGTCTCATACTTACACGGTGAAGCGGATGAACATCTAACGTGTGATTGGTGACGTGTATCTTTGGGGGCGGGGCCTAGGCATCAATGAATGGTGTTGTGTCTTTAAGGCGGGGCAGGGGGTTATGGGCTTACATTTCTGCCACAATTCTGCGCGCGAAAGATCATATTTTGAGCGCACAAAAGTGCATTTTGCACGCGCGCGATCTGAGTTTTGTGGAGAAAATGTTCGTTTCGCAAAGAAAAAAGTCTTTCGAGCGCACGGAAATCAATTTTGCATTTAAAATACGTTTTTGGATGTGAAATTGATTTCCGTGCGCTCGAAAGACTTTTTTCTTTGTGAAACAAACATTTTCTCCAAAAAACTCAGATCGCATGCGTGCCAATTGCACTTTTGTGCTCTCAAAATATGATCTTTCGCGCGCAGAATTGTGGCAGAAATGTAAGCACATAGGGGGTGTGGTCTGGGCATCAATAACAGTCAAGAGTGAGTTCACCCAAAAAATAAAAATCATTCTGTCACCGTTCCCTCATGAGGTTCAGTTTGGAGTTGTGTGTGTTCAAGTTTGCAGTAAATGATTTCAGATATAGCCTCAGCTATAAATCTATGATATTCCCGCTTGACACTTTTCAGTGTATTCATGACAGAGCTTTTATTTCTGGGTGGACTGGCTCTTTAAGTGATTGTAGCGCTGCTTGTGCTGTGGGCGCATCAGTAACGCGTGTCTCTCTCGTGCTGCTTGTGCGGTGCGTGCGGCTCAGAGCTGGGCGTTGATGCTGACCTCACTGACACAGATGTTCCTGCAGTTCAGCCCAGCTCCTACCAGCCGTACGGCCCGGAGGCCGAGGCCGAGGACGACGACCCCTACGGCTCCTACACCTCCTACTACCAGCCCAACTACCCTCCGCCGCGGCCCGTGCAGCCCGACGACCCCGTCATAGAGGAGGAGCTGCGCTCGCCCGGCATGCAGCGGCACACGCGCAGACGCTAGGAGAGCACGCACCGAGAGTGCGAGAGACAATGACAGGAATAAACTCAACATTCTGAGAAGAAAGGGCTGAATTGTGAGATAAAAGTCGTTTTTATTTTTTTATAAAAACAGTGTTATAATCGGACAGCGACAATGATGATCTGCTTTTTCATTCTTATATGCTCAATTAAAGATGATTTCTATTAGTAGACCAGTAGATTTCATAGCAAAAGCATCTGACATTGTAAAATGCAGCCATGTTTATGCCGTTCAGCATGTGATTTAGATCTGAATAAATGTTCATTTCCGTCTGTTTTTCAGGTGATGTGTTGAATATTTGCTCTAGAGATGTCATTATGTGCTTTGTTGTAATTGAAGTTTCCAGCAGGCTAGTTTGGCTTTTTCTCCTTTCTGATGTCTGAACAGATTCGTTCTGATTGAATCGGTTCAGTTGATCGGTCTGATTCGTCTGATGCTTGAAATCTAGCTGTTTACTAATATGATTCCATATAAATGACTAAGATTGAGTGTTATTCTCATGCTTATTTAGAGAAAAACAGTCATGCCAAGACTTGTATTGTACTTTTGTACACATTTTTAATACATTACAAAGAGTTAAGCTTAGGAAGAAAACACTTTTTAAGTCATTTCAGTGCTTAAGTCAAATAGAGAATATTTCATGTAAAATAGAGATATACTGTCAGTATGTTATCAGCATATTTTTGATCTGTATGGAAGCTGCTCTTTCTGTTCTGAATCTGCTTTTATGAATGATTGTCTGATTGTGAGATCAGATGTTCATTAGTTCTGATTCTCTGACATCTGCTGAGCTTAAAGTGCGTCTTAATATCATCTGATTTCGTAGAAATATATATATATATATATAAGACACGTACAGTCTTTCATGAGATTATTCTGCAGTTCGCTTCTCGTATGTATCTCACTTTCTCAAGCCATTGCTGTTTAATCTTCAGTTATTTATTTTATCTCAAGGTTTTTCAGTATTTTCAGTATTCAGCATGTTTTGAAACCCTTGACTAGATGTTTGTTAAAGCCTTGTTTACATTCATTTCATATGTGACGTCAAGTATTTCTAGCTTTGATGTAATGCTATATTGTGATGATCAGATGAATTATCATGCAGTATTTGTGTGGTTGTGAGAATGTCAGCCTTGCTGTCAAATCAATTTAATAAAAAATATATAAAAACGATTCCTAAAATCTCCATGTGTGTGTATGAGAGAGAATGTGTGTGTGTGTGTGTGTGTGAGTCTCTGTGTGTGTGTGTGTGTGTGTGTGTGTGTGTGTGTCTGTGTGTGTGTGTGTGTGAGTCTCTCTGCGTGTGTGTGTGAGTCTCTGCGTGTGTGTGTGTGTTTGACTGTGTGTGTGTGCGCAGGCGAGTCGTGTCATGATGAAGAATGCTGCAGGTATTCAGGTCGATGAAGAGACCCAGAGGAACGTGACCGTCAGAGAGACCTGAGATCGTCCAGGAGTCACGTGTGTGTTTTTGTGAAAGTGTGTCAGTCTACACTACGGTATCATCACTGTTTTCATGCATGTCTCCGCTGGGTTTATATTCCACACATCCCCTGATCGCTGTCACTGCAGTGTGTTTGTGTTTAATGTGTAAGTATTTCAGCCCGTCGCTGCACATGCGCAGATCCTCCAGCAGACGGCAGCAGCTCATCGACCCGCTGATTCAGTGAAAGTAATCCAACTCTGTTGGTCAAACGCATCACTAGTGGACGTGATCTGTTCTCGTGTGTGTGTGTGTGTGTGTGTGTGTGTCTGTCTGTGTTTGAGTGTGTGTGTGAGACTGTGTGTCAGAGAGAGAGAGAGAGAGAGAGAGAGAGAGAGAGAGTGTGTGTGTGTGTGTGTGTGTGACAGAGAGAGAGAGTGTGTGTGTCTGTGTGTGTGTTTGAGTGTGTGTGTGTGTGAGTCTCTGTGTGTGTGTGACTGTGTGTCAGAGAGTGAGAGAGAGTGTGTGTGTCTGTGTGTGTGTTTGAGTGTGTGTGTGTGTGAGTCTCTGTGTGTGACTGTGTGTGTCAGAGAGAGAGAGAGAGAGTGAGTGTGTGTCTGTGTGTGTGTGTGTGTTTGAGTGTGTGTGTGTGTGAGTCTCTGTGTGTGTGACTGTGTGTGTCAGAGAGAGAGAGAGAGAGTGAGTGTGTGTCTGTGTGTGTGTGTGTGTTTGAGTGTGTGTGTGTGTGAGTCTCTGTGTGTGTGACTGTGTGTGTCAGAGAGAGAGAGAGAGAGTGAGTGTGTGTCTGTGTGTGTGTGTGTGTTTGAGTGTGTGTGTGTGTGAGTCTCTGTGTGTGTGACTGTGTGTGTCAGAGAGAGAGAGAGAGAGTGAGTGTGTGTCTGTGTGTGTGTGTGTGTTTGAGTGTGTGTGTGTGTGAGTCTCTGTGTGTGTGACTGTGTGTGTCAGAGAGAGAGAGAGAGAGTGAGTGTGTGTCTGTGTGTGTGTGTGTGTTTGAGTGTGTGTGTGTGTGAGTCTCTGTGTGTGTGACTGTGTGTGTCAGAGAGAGAGAGAGAGAGTGAGTGTGTGTCTGTGTGTGTGTGTGTGTTTGAGTGTGTGTGTGTGTGAGTCTCTGTGTGTGTGACTGTGTGTGTCAGAGAGAGAGAGAGAGAGTGAGTGTGTGTCTGTGTGTGTGTGTGTGTTTGAGTGTGTGTGTGTGTGAGTCTCTGTGTGTGTGACTGTGTGTGTCAGAGAGAGAGAGAGAGAGTGAGTGTGTGTCTGTGTGTGTGTGTGTGTTTGAGTGTGTGTGTGTGTGAGTCTCTGTGTGTGTGACTGTGTGTGTCAGAGAGAGAGAGAGAGAGTGAGTGTGTGTCTGTGTGTGTGTGTGTGTTTGAGTGTGTGTGTGTGTGAGTCTCTGTGTGTGTGACTGTGTGTGTCAGAGAGAGAGAGAGAGAGTGAGTGTGTGTCTGTGTGTGTGTGTGTGTTTGAGTGTGTGTGTGTGTGAGTCTCTGTGTGTGTGACTGTGTGTGTCAGAGAGAGAGAGAGAGAGTGAGTGTGTGTCTGTGTGTGTGTGTGTGTTTGAGTGTGTGTGTGTGTGAGTCTCTGTGTGTGTGACTGTGTGTGTCAGAGAGAGAGAGAGAGAGTGAGTGTGTGTCTGTGTGTGTGTGTGTGTTTGAGTGTGTGTGTGTGTGAGGTATTTGTTTGCAACAGTTATTATTTGTGAGAGAAGTGTGCATAATTTTCAAGAAATTACTATCATAAAACCAGAAGCGAGATCAAATGTGTCATAATCTGTGATATTTCTAAACGTATGAATGATGGAGAAACGTTTATCTTTATATATATCTATCTAGTCATAAATGCAGATGTGAAGTGAGTCCTCTGAAGGGTTGTGTTTGAGTGAGTGCTGCAGTGAACACAGTAAACACAGAGTAAACTCAGAGTAAAGAGCGGCTGATTGGTGTTTGCGTAGAAACTCTGAATGAAAGCCCTCGCGCGTCTCTGACGTACCGGATCATGTGTCGGTTACCGTAGATTTCCCGAGCTCGACTTTTCCCTCCGTCCTCGTCTTCGCTCCGGTGTGGATTGCTTCTCCCGGGGGCTCGCGACGCGTTCTCAGAAGGTGAGCTTTTGCGTTTGAACTCGCTGTTAGTGCGACTAAGAAAAGTTTGCGGCGGAAATGCAGCGCCGTTAGCCGGTTAGCCGCGCTCTCCTCGCGCTCGTTAACGGGCCCGACACGAACGACACCGGCTGCGGGTGAGTGAACGGTCGGTCCGAGCGTGTTTAGTCAGAAATGATCGTTCCTGATGAAGCTGTGTTTAGTTGAACGGCTGAGTGAAAGAGCGCGTGCATCATCTTCATCAGGAAGGGAAGGTTACTTTGGTTACAGATTACAGTTACCCTATATAAAATGTAACAAGTAGTGAAACTATTTTCGAATGTTTTCAACTGTTAAAATCATTTTGAAACGCTGATTACTGTCAGACTTTCAGAATCCTTCATCACTTGAATTAAGATGACAATAATTTAATTTTAAAGCACAGCCACCACAAAATCAGACTTTAGCAGCTTTTTTTGTTTACTTTGAGATCATAACAAGATATAGTTTAATAGCAGTGATACTGTTTTAGAAGTCAGATCTTTACATAGCTATGACAGCAAACACAGGCATCTAACAATGCTTTGGGGTCTTAAAATATAAAGCATATAGCCTACATAAACCCAAATAGGGAATAAAACAGTTATGGAATAACTCCTGAAACATGGGTGTCTCATATTTTAAAGCAGTCAATGCAATTTGGGAAAGAAATCAATCAAATCTGTATATGTGTGAAAATATTCAGATGTAACCCCCTTCGTAATCATTAACATTTTCATAATTTAATTACACATTTTTTCTCAGTAGCTGTAATCGGTCACAGTTACATTTGTGTTGTAATTAAATTACGTAACTCCGTTACATGTAACGAGTTACTCCCCAGCACTGAAGTTTGTGAATGTACGTCGTCTCTAGAGGATGATGTTCAGCTCCTCAAACACAAATTGTTTTTACAACTTTACACAACGTCGTATTTTGGTTGCAGTTCAGTGTTTCAGAAACCACTTCTAAAATAATGCAACCGAAATAAAATTACCATCTCGAAGTAATAAAAAACACAAATGTAACGTTTGTTTACTATGAAAACAAAACCAGATCAAACTGCAACTTTTGCGAAACATTAACGAAACTAACATTTTGGGAAAAATTAGAAGACTCGTTTGCCATTGAGATGACTGGGAAAATGTCCCAATTAACCTGAAATAACTCTATAATACACCAGCACACGCTTCTGATCAGGCACGGTTTCCAAGGTAACCGCTGTTTCACTTCTGTAGGTCACATGATCACGTGCTGAGGACTTCAGCACTCATATGAACACAAACATGAGAAACATTAATAATGTCTAGCATGAAGAAAATCAAGCCTGTTTGGGAGCATCGTAATTGTTTTGCATTGCATACACACACAGTGTAACTGAGAAACATCTTGTTTTATATTCCAGTGATGAGTTTAGGTTCTAACAGTAATCCCTCGTCTGAGACGATGATGGTGAGATGCTGACTGGAGCTCTTCGTCGGTGAGGAAGGTCACAAACCCACAGTAAGCCTGTTTTCAGTGCTTTATTTTTATTGGATGATGGCATGCTAATGGGCGGGGTTTGCTGGGAATTGATAATCGGCTCACAGCTGCGGCACTGAACCAGAATCACGAACCAGTATGAATCTGAGAAAAATAACCTTGTGCGAGTCACATTTCACCCTGAAATAATGTCCTATCGCTCCCATTTTAGGAGCAATAAGAGATTTTCTCATGACTTTGTTATCAATTAAATATATGTTCTGAATATACTGTATCTAGCTTCTAAATTCAGCATGTTCTCATATGTGATGCTCATTATATGTGCCACATGAAAGTCAAGAAATTACGAAAAAATATATTTAATAATTTTGTAAGGCAGAAGTCCGCTATTCTCTGTGAATGTGCAGGACTTCAGATTCATTAGTCACTGTAGGTAAGTTTATTTATATAGCACATTCATACACGAAGGTAATTCAAAGTGCTTTACTTAAAAATGATCAAAAGTTGCATTAAACTAATGAGAATCATTACTGAGAAAGAGACACATTACAGTCTTTATGCATAATAAAGCTTCTTTGTGCATAATACTTCTTGCATAGTGGGTATGTATATAAATCAAACAGTTCCTATAAAACATTAGAAGTATAGAACAGTAGAAGAGAAGTGTGTTTTCATCAGACCGTATCTCTTATTCTTCGGGGAGGCGTTTGAAGGCGAGTCAATATTGAGTTTGGCTGTGGACAGAATTCCTGAGCTGGAATCAATCTGATTGACTGAGTGGGTGGGTGGCAGGGCTCTGCGCTGCTCTCTCATTGGCTGTGACTGGTGACTGTCACCTTTACACTTGTTCCTCACAGTGAGACAGAAACTCAGTGTGTGTGTGATTCTGTAGAAAAAGACAAACGACTGGCTGAGATTGTGCTGATGCAGGACGGAGGAGTTTCAATGAAACATCCCTCTCTCCGAAATGTGCTTTATTCAGAAATCTGACTGAAAGACGATGTATCATTGCAGGTTTTGATACGGTGTTTTACAAATGTGTTTTATGTGTACATTTGTTCATTTAGTAAATGCTTTTATCAAAGAAACTGAGGGACGCAACAAAGTGCTTCGTCCTCAGGAGACAGAAACATGAGACGACACGAAATACAAAGTTCCCAAATTAGAAGAACAGGAGAGAACCGAGATGAAGACTCACTGTCAGTGACTCGGAGGACGCTACCTGCAGATGAAAAACAGACCCGAAATCAAGACAAACACAACAAAACGTCTCAGGTTACTTATGTAACCATGGTTCCCTGAGTAGGGAACGAGACACTGCGTCCTCTAGGGGTCACTATGGGGGACGCCTCATTGTGACCCGTGTCTGAAGCATACATTGAAAAAACACCAACTCATTGGCCGGCGACAGCCATGACGTCACTACCGGTGCGACTATAGTATAAATAGGCGCCGGGAGCACACATCATTCACTTCTTCGTCTGAAGCTTGCGTCCGCAGCATGGCAAGA